GACCGGAGATTGACTTTTTGATATCGGGGTCGGAATCCAATTCCGAAAGTTGAAGTAAGTCCGTAATGTCAAATATGATTAGTGTACAAAATTTGAGGTCAATCGGACGTGATTTGATAGGTTTAAGCATCGGAAATAGAAGTTGGAAAGTTCAAAGTTCAAAAAGATTGAATTGGGGTGTAACCCGTGATTTTTGTGTTGTGTGATGTGATTTGAGGCCTCGAGCAAGTTCGTAATGTGTTTTGGAACTGGTTGGTATGATTGGTTGGGGTCCCGGGGGCCTCGGGTGGATTCCGGGTGGCTAACGGATTGACTCCGGAGTTTGAAGAAGTGCTGAGGCAGCTGGTATCTGGTATTTCCGCTTCTGCGGAAATGGGACCGCAGAAGCGGCCCCGCAGAAGCGAAGAAGAAGCCGCAGAAGCGGACGAGGGCGAGGGCAGCTAGGACCGCAGATGCGGCCCATGATCCGCTGATGCGGAATCGCAGAAGCGGTTGGCTTATCGCAGAAGCGAAAATGGGCTTGAGCCCAGGGACCGCAGAAGCGGAATATTTTCCGCAAAAGCGGGACCGCGGAAGCGGGATTATTTCCGCAGAAGCGAAAATCCCTGGAGGCAGAAGGTTAATTTAAAGTCGGGGATTGGCCATTTCCCTCATATTTCTCATGGCTTGGGGCGATTTTGGAGGGCTTCAAGGAGGGGATTTTCGTCGTCAATGTCAAGGTAAGTTATCCCCATCACTTTTGTGTTAAATATATCAATTATGTATGGATTTAAATGTGAAGATTAGTGTAAATTTGGGGTTTTGATTGAAAACCTAGGAAATTAGAAATCTTGGATTTTGATTACGATTTTGAGTATGGAATTAAGAGAAATTATATATATTCGAGTTCCTAAGGCTATGGGTAAACTTTATCTTCGAAAAATTTTGGATTCCGGGCACGTGGGCCCGAGGGCGTTTTGGTCAACTTTCCAATCGGGGTTAGGAATTGCTATAAATTAGTTGTAATGAATTGAGCATATATTAATGGATTGCGTAACCATTGGCTAGTCTTGGAGTGTGGTGCATCACTTGGAGTCCTCGGAAGAATGTAGAATGCCGGCTATGAGTCTTCGGAGCGAGGTGAGTCTCCTTTCTAATCTTGTGAGGGGGAATTTACCCCATAGGTGAAGTAATTGATTATGTGCTCCTATTTGTGGGGGCTACGCACGCACGAGGTGACGAGAGTCCATGCGTAGCTACTATTATGCTATTGTCCGGGTAGTTAGGACCCAAAAGCATGTTGCACGTGGATTAATTGTGAACCCATTGGTAGCTCGAATTGTTTAACTCACATCGAGTTAGTAAGTAAACTTCTAAAAGGGATTAAACTTCATTTCTTAAATTGTTAAAGGAGAATTGATTTTATTTGAATAAATATTCCCCGATAAGTTCTTATTTGACTGATTGAGCATGTATTTTATGTGTGCCTACGTCGCATGGATAATTCGCAAGCAGGATATGTGTTTATTTATGGAACGGGCCGAATGCCTCGGTGAGAATAGATGCATCTATGGTTCGTGCTGCTCGACCCTCGGCAGTGCACAATTTACATTTCTGTTGGAGCGGGCCGTCGACCTCGGCATGATTTGCGCGTGTTTATCTGTTACTTGAAAACTTTTAATTTGGAATTGGCCCTACGTGGCTTGATATAAACTGACAAGATAATAAAGAACAAACTTTAGAAGCCCTGGATTTATTGTTGAAGGTGTTTACCTGTTTCTCTGGCTTCACAATCAGAACTTCTATACAAATCCATGATTTTCCTCGCTCTTATAGAATATTGCTAATTGACCTCTAGTGAGTGTCGGAGTTGGCCATCTCGTCTCTACCCCTTCGGGATTAGGCGGGATACTCACTGAGTACACGTTGATTTGGTACTCATACTACACTTCTGTGCATTTTTGTTGCACAGGTATATATACCTCTAGCAGCCTATTGGGCGTAGCAGCACGGACGACTCTGGGACTAGGTGAGCTGCATTTTTCGAGACGACCCACAGCCAGTATAGTTCCTTTCAGCATTTTATTATTTATTCCCTGTCCACTGTATTTCGGACAGATGTTGTATTTTACTTTCCTTATCGATAGTTGCTCACGTACTTGTGACACCGGGTTTCTGGGATGGGTTTCAACGGATTTGTACTAATTGTTATTATTTAAATTTGAATTCAAGTAGTGAACTTTTATTTATGAAAATGGAAGGAAAAACCTTAGATTTTCAAAAGTTTTAAAAGAGGAATTAATTGATAATCTAGTTGGCTGGCCTGACAGAGGTGTCCAGCGCCACCACGACCCTTAGTGGATTTTGGGTCGTGACAACATGGTATCAGAGCACTAGGTTCCCGTCGGTCTCACGAGTCATGAGCAAGTCTAGTAGAGTCTCGCGGATCGGTACGGAGATGTCTGTACTTATCCTCGGGAGGCTACAGGACTGTTAGGAGTACTTTCCTTCTTGATTTCCTTTTCGTGCGGTTCGATTCCTTTGAGGCTTATGCCTTTGATTTCTTCCTACTCAATCTTACGCGAACGTTTGTTATAAATTGAAAATTGAAGGATTGTAATGGCACTACAAATGTAGTGCGGGATGATTTTCCCGGTATAGTTGATTGGACTATTATAGTCGCATTTTGGAGGGATATTCTATTGTCTCAGCTCAGTAACAGAACTTCTAAGAGCCTTGAGGCTAGGCACAGGTTTCCATAATGCTTATGAGCGATTTTTCCGCAGTGTTGTTGTGATGGTAGGGTGGTTGCCCACGTGTCGGGGCAGTGAATGAATTGAAGGGAGGTTTACTCAACATGTAATCAAGGGATTCAGTATTTTATTCCCGACAGGGGAAAAGGCAGTCGGACTAAGAATGGTCAGGTGTGGGCTGGTGGAAGTAATGAGGTTTGGTATTTGCAAGCGTGGTTGAGCTTTCTTTTATGAGAGGGTGTCGTGGTCCTGATTGAACGTACTAAGTTGTTGGCGTTATAATCTGCTACAATTCGCCTTTGTGGCAGGATATTATGAACTAGTATTGGAGTTACGACTGTCAGATATCGCATGGTGCAGTGGTTTAAGATCGAATCAGAATTTCTAATGTTGACGGATCGATAAAGATGACCTTTGAAAAGGTTTAAGGTTAGTAGCAATGGTGGGTTCAAGTGCCACGAAGATAGATTTTATTTGAGGCAACAATTGAGCAGCAAAGTATGAGGAAGGACATGTGGGAAGTGCCAGGCGATGTTTAAAATTTCGAGAAGGCCAAGTATGAGAAGCAAGATCGAGTGACCGATTAAGGAGATGAGTTCCGCCAAAGTGGGAGAGTGGCGAGGGTTGCATATGGGCTTGGCAGTAGGATGACTACGCGCCTTAATGAGAGTTTGGATCGAATTGGGGATTTTAATGATTGGTGATTGAAGCCTGCGGGTATGATGTGAAGTATGGGCTATTATGCGGCAGAAGATTGATATGGCGGAAAGGAGCTGCTTGGAATGGAGGAGGGTGCAGGCATAACCCGTGAATTTGGAAGGATGTTGCCGCNCTCAGGTACTTGAAAATAATGAGATCTCGATAAGTTATGTCTTTATTGTGTGATGATGGAACCGATGTAAATGATCGCCGACGATGTTGTTAATATAATGTAGCGCTCAATATTATTAATATTGACGAGGATCTTGAGCTCAAATCTGTCATGGAATTTGGACAGATAAATGATTGGCCAAATGAAAAATATGCAATGAAAATTGACTTCATCTGAAAAATATGAAGTTTGGACGAATAGTCCCAACAACTGAGAGTATAAAGGCTATATGGAGATATTGAAATATGATTAGTATTATATTGCAAAAAGAATCTTTGATATAGATTTGTTTATTCTAACAAATATTGTCAAGGTTTTGTTGTTTATGCAAATGCAGGCATTTATTGAAGTCTGTTCTTCAAACAATCTATTTGTATGTGAGGAATTGTCATATTATCATTTCACAAGATGTGTGACTTTTCTTTGAAGAGAAGATTCCAATAATAATGAAGAAGCTGATGTTTGCTTATCTCAATTGAAAGAAGAATATTGAAGGAGACTGAATAAATCATATATTTCATCAAAGTTCTTTGTCAGACACGATCTTCAACAGAATGATGAAATAGATGTTCAAGAAAGTCCTTCAAGTGATAATTTGGCGGAATAATTCACGAAGGCATTGCCGATCTCAATATTAGAGAAGTTGTTATACAAGCTTGGAATTCGGCGTCTCCGAGAAATAAAGTGATATTTTCATCAGGGGGAGGCAAATACGCGCTGTACTCTTTTTCCCTTAGCTAAGGTTTTATCCCACTGGGTTTTCCTGGCAAGGTTTTTAATGAGACAGCAAGAAATGCGTATTACAAGATATGTGTACTCTTTTTCCTTCACTAAGATTTTTTCCTCCATGGTTTTTTCTTAGTAAGGTTTTAACGAGACACATTATCTATGAACATCCAAGGGGGAGTGTTATGAAATACATATTTATATGGATGTCCACTAATCAAATATAACTCCCACTACTCTTCTCCATTATGTAGATAACCCCCACTACTTCTTACCATTATGGATGTAACTCCCACACCTCCATGATCTTCCCCCATGTTCTCAATTGTTAATACTATGTTTATGGAGTCCCTTTGTATTACCTATATCATCCTATAAATAGAGGGTTTGGGCATGACATTGTACACACTTGAATACATGAAGAAATAAGATTCTATCATCTCTTTCTCTTTACATTGTTGTCTATCTTCTTGTTTTATGTTATTACTTTGAGCTAAGTTTCGTAGCAATTTAGGCATATATTGCCTATAAAATAGGCCATCAGTCCATGACTAGACCAGGCTGGCTGGGGTAATGGACCACCACTTTGACAAGCTATAGTCACACCAACAACCAAAAGAATAAAACAAAATAAATAGAAAGATCCTATTTAGCCACCAAAACTTATGATGACCATTACAAAAATACTTCTTTATGACAAAATTATTCATTCTTTTACTTTAGATTGTGCACATAGACTGCATACCTTGAACGCAGCCGTAAGAGACACCAATTAAGCTCTTTCTTCCATGGCGACGTCCAAGCTCCAGGCCCTTTGGAATCACCCTGCTGGCCCTAAAACCAGTCTGTTCTTTTCTATCTCTTTAATTGCATATAAATTCGATTCATATTTCTTGTTTTTTTCAGATCAATTGAACTATCCTCTTTTTAGATTCAGATTTCCCTTTTTCTTATGATTGCTTTCTGGGTTTTTCTTAAGAGTTGTGTGGAATGTAGAATATCTGTTTCTGAAAATGGGCTCATGTTTATTAATTGGAATTCAGTTGTTCTGTACAGAGAAGAAAAGAAATTGAAATGGATAAAAGGGAAGAATACTTGTGTTCTATTTCTGAAAATGTTAAATTGCTTTTATGCATGTCAATGGTGATTTCTTCCCGTATGTCCAAGCTTTGGCGGACAGAGTTACCCGGTACCTATGCTGGTGCGAGGTAGCAGGTACCTTGTGGAATTAGTCTAGATGCGCCCAAGCTGGCACCACCATGGTTTTAAAAAATATTATCCATGTCAAAACTAAAAAGGCATATATATGCATGCTTATATGGCCTGTGAAACATGGGTTAAGCTAACAAGATTATTTTTTATTAGAATTGAGGTGCATCATGGTTCGGCTAAAGCACTGATCGTGCCAACAAAGCGGTGCCAGTGATGATGTCCACAGATAATAGCAGTATTGTGAAGAGCGCGACAAGCCCTTTTTCTCTTAAAGCGTGAATACGAGAAGTGAAGCGCTCCCTTTTTTGAGGTGAAGCGGAATTAAGAAAAAAAATCTAAAAATAAAATAAAATTCGCAGTAAGAACAAAAGATGAAGAACTGAAGGATAAAAAAAATTGGCAGCATTTCGTTGCTATTTTAAGCACTGAAACGAAAAGAAGAAAAGGAGGAGGAGGAGGAGGAGAAACAAGAAAACATACCTGGGCTTGAACTTGAAGAAGAAGAGTGCTGAAAATTGAAACCCTAGTCGCTGCTTGCTCTGCTACTCGCTGATTTTGTTAAAAAAGACTGAGCTTTTTTATTTTTTCATTTCAGTACCGTTGGCAGTGACTTAAAAGACAGAAGCAAGCGCTTCAACCGCTTCACGCATCACTAGTGCTTCACGCTTTTTGGCAGAAGCGGTCGCTTCCAAACACCGCTTACGCTTCACCCAATAGAAGCGACACTATGGCCGCTAGCGCTTTTCTCAATACTGGATAATAGAGCTGTTTATTAGGCTGAGCACTTGTTTACTTTGGTTAAAATGGTATTGCTAGATTGGCTTACAAGAGAAAACCATTAAACAATAAATTTGGAGCGAGAACCCTATTAATCTGGAAAAGTAGCCATGGTTGGGGTAGAGTAGTGAAGGAAAGGGATAAAATGAACTCTCTACGCCTATTCGAAGAGGAATGATCCCGGGGATGGCTATACCCTGAACCCTCCGAGGGACAGATGATAGTTGAGGGGAATTTTCACCATGCACAACAAAGGCTGTAAAAAAATCCTGCCTCTATTCGCCCCCATCCCAACCCCCACCAATTCATAGAAAGACACTGAACACCGGGCCTATGTTCATATACCACTTACAGGAATGAAAATTCAGTAAAATCATAACGAGTTCTTGTTAAATCTTACTGGACATGAAACGTTTTTTCATTCTTTGAACTGTTTTATGGCTTGATTTTGATTAGTCATTTAAACTCACTCCGGCTCTTGTGTTTCACCAGTTCATTTCTGGGCACCAACCTTCAAGTGGGGCATTAGCATAGCAAATATTGCTGATTTCTCCAAGCCACCTGAGAAACTTTCGTATCCCCAGCAGATAGGTAGGTGGTCCAATCTGTGTATCAAAAACATGGTCACATTGGTTTAGCTATACTCTATATGCGAACTGTATAAAGTACTAACAGTATAACTGTTTTCTTTTATGTTGCTTATCACTGCCATCATGCAGCTGTTTCAGCTACCGGAATTATCTGGTCACGCTACAGCACTGTGATTACACCTGTAAGTTAATCTATTGCTATTAAAACAAAATTTCTTCTCTATTAAATGCCTGTATTCTTTGGATACTGCACTTTCACCAAGTCGTGGTAGACTCCTTAATGTTATATAATGTGTGAATATTTTAAAAGAAGTTTTTTTTGCATCTGTTGCTTCCATCACTATGATTTTCCTTTCATGATTTTAGATGAAGTTGCAGCTTCTCTCTCTTCTTCTTTGTTTTTGTTTCTGTTTCTTTTCCTTCAAACCCTCATGCACATTTGACCTCTATATTTCTTTTTCTTCTTCTTTGTTTTTGTTTCTGTTTCTTTTCCTTCAAAGCCTCATGCACATTTGACCACTATATTTCTTTTTCTTCTTCTTTTTGTGGTAATTAATGTATTTTATTCATCAAAGAGATAGGTACAGCTCAAAAACCAAAAAAAAAAAAAAAAAAAAAAAAAAGAAGGAAAAAACTGAAGTTGGACATAGTCTCAACTTCCTATCAGACAAAAACAGCAGAAAACACATCAACTTCGCCTAACCATCTGGTAACTACTTAATATTCATCATAAACATCTGTTAAGGGTAGAAATTGAGCTGCTCTATTCTCCTTGCCAATTTAGGCTTCAGGCTTGCTCTATAGATCGCCTCTTGAACAATCTGCTTTAGAATCGCTTGCCCCTCTCTTTGTCTACTCTGGAAGCTCCTTAGATTCCTTTCTTTCCATACAAAATAAATGCACCTAGCAAGAGACATCCTATAAATTTCTTTTTCTTTTTGCTAGATGCATCTAAAGGGAAAAGATTTTAACTACCTTTTCTTTCCTGAAGTCCTGAACTAAAAATGTTTAAAGAGAAAGATTGAAAGGGTTCAATACCCACATACAGAGAGCATAGAACAAAATGAGACACACCTTGTTTTTTTCTTTCTATCAGCTTGGTAAATCCTGATCTTGTAAGATCAGGTATCTGACAAATCTGCCCATCCTTTCATTCTTCCATGTACTCTGCTCTCACTTTTCATTCAATATACATTTTTTCGATCAAGTGTTAAGATTTTATTTATGAAGGGGAAAAATTCGCCCATGTATTATACCAGAAAAGAAGAAAACCTACAAAAGATAAGATTTTGTAATAACAAAATCAATCTTCTATACATAAAGGGAACCTCATGGGTTCACCAAAAAAGTTGCAAGTGATCAGAGGCTATTCTTCAATTGTGCAAAATCAATATAAAAGAATTCTGCAAATGCTCTCCTATTTCTCTTTCTGCAAATGATTCACATAAGTACTAGTGGAGCAACATTCCACGCCCTGCATCTTGTCCTCAATCTTCCATAGATCCAGCTGAACATCTTATCTTTCATAGTGTTTGGCATTACCCAAAATTTTAGTCCAATACCTTACGCAAAGTCATGTCTGCTTAACTACCTTATTGTGTTTGGTGCAAGCACTTTCTGTAAAATTGCAATCTACTCTCTCTCTCTCTCTCTCTCTTTTTCTTTCAATGAGTTAAGGTCCAGTCTTCTCTGCTATCCATCTACTTGTGTACTCCTTCCTCACAAGTCTGCACAAAGTGTAACCTTGAACAGTTGGCTTGTGGACATCAAAAAGGCAATTGTATCCTCTACAGCTCATGCTGGTATCATTGAGTGAGGGTTTCCAGTAAATTTCGTAGCTATAATCCGTCCACCCTTCACATATGAACATATTTTCACGCATGCATGGTATCGACAGGCCCTTCACATGCACAAAGGTTCCACCATCTTTTGAAAATGTAGAAGCAGACCTTTCATGTTACTATCCGCTGTTTAAACATTGTTGGTTTGGGAAAAGGACATCCTGAGTCTTGTTTTTGGCTGAATAATTGATTCTCGGTTACAGAAAAACTGGAATCTTTTCAGTGTGAATGTGGCCATGGCATGTACAGGACTCTACCAACTCTCAAGGAAACTTCAGTAAGTTGCTTTTCCATTTTATATGAGAATAAGTTGTCTTAATAATGCACCATCTTTGTATGGAGCCAAAGCTCCAACATTGAAGAAGTAGGAGGTTGACCTGACCTATATTTTAAGCATCGGTACTCTTTCATGTTTAAGCTGGTGACAATTCTATTCCAATGATGTCCTTGCCAGTTATCTAAACCACATTTTTGTCTTTTAAGGCATGATTACTCAAAGGAGGAGCAAACAGAAGCACTAAAAGAATGATGACGAAAATCAGTAACCTCTGGCCTTGCATCAAATGCCCTTTTTTAATTATTTCTCATCTTGCATTTTGTAAGTGATTTATGACACGGTCAGGTATCAATAATAATAAGCCTTTGGAGCTGTAAAAACTGCTCAATGTCTTTCTATGGGCTTGGTCTTCAATGTGATAGTGCATATTTCTCGAACAATTCAAGAAATGGCGAATAAAGGTAGTGGCATTGGTCCTTAGGTGTGTAACTAAGCTTAATGCAAAAATGTTGGAGCTATTTGTCAATCAAACATGATCGAGAGGGCATGTTCAAACAGGAATGGATCAAAGGCACTCTAGTACATATTAAAGTTACTCTTCTGCTGAAAATTTCCTAGCTTCACTTGCTGATAAACTTAGTTACATATCCTTCTACTTTCTAAAATCCATGTTTTAATTTCAAAAATTGATGATCATGTCTTGTCACCACTGTCATCTTATTACTGCGAAATGAGCCCCTTTGACTTTTGAGACCTCGTTTTTTTACTTTACAGAGAATGGATTTTACCTCAAACTTTGGGCTGATGCAATATGTTCATTCTTCAACCAACAAAATACTAGGAAAAATACATAAGTTTGTTTGTCACCTAAACTTGTCCGATAAAATTACATCATCTATGTTAGTTACTATGTTTTAAGTACTTTTAGGTTTTGATTATGTTCTAGACTCTTCAAGTTATGTTTAAGTACGTTTATCTCAATTAATGAAGGACTCACATGTGCATCCTAAAGCTAAGGTAGCAATTTCAAATTCATGAAAATAGTATTTAAGTCTTGTTCATATCTAACGTCCGGAAGAACAAAGTTGAATAAATGTGAAGAAGAAGATGTATAAGCTTCCAATCAGCACTATATATTTGACAAAAGAAAAACCCAGAATTTAATGAAGCACTACACTTCATTTAATGGTTGCACGTAAATGCCAACCACAGCCAAACTTAGCAAACAACACAACCAGACTATTAATCAAATTATGCATAATTTCATAACAAAATTAAATAAACCAAAGGTTATCCAAGTAGAAGGTTCTACAATTATATAAACAAAAGGTTCTACGATGACACATTAAACACCTATGACAACTGCCGTACATCTTGATTCAACGTTGCATGCTAGATGTTACACCTTTAATAAAACTACATAAGGTAATACACCAAGGCACATTTTCTCTAGTATTGGACCTAATCATTTTGCTCCTCAATTTTTTCACCGTCTCCTTCTCTTTCTCAAGCTCATCGTCCAATCTAGAGATCAGTTCCATCTCTATCTTTTTTTTCAACCAATCAATGTTGCACAATGCTTCTATCCATTTTCATATACTTCCAGTTAACTTTCAGATGATTTGGCAATCTCTCATATGCTAGCAATGGTATTTATCTTTTTTGTCAGTTTTTTGGCATCTTAACTCATTTTTCTAGTAAAAAAAATCAATATATTCATGCAATTACAACATAATTTATATATATTTAACTATAGTTATGTCGTTCCAGAAATGACTGTTACAATACCACGCTTTAATAAGTACTGCGACGTTCCAAGAATTACCGTTACTATACCACCGTTTCATAAGGACTAAGAATGAATGCTAAACATTCACATTTTATTTGTAAGGAAAATAAAGAAAGTTATGTTAACAGTTACTCCCTATACCATCCAATTTGCGTTTTCTCCTTCTAACTCTCCTCTCTTTTGGACTAATTGTCATTTGTAAATGTAGGCCTTCCCTTCCCTTCCCTTTTGTCTATGTGGTTATGCATAAAACTTCTTTTCAAGATCAGGTATATATATGTTTCAGTAAGATTTTTCGTTTACCTGTGTATAGGGGTGTCATGCCACGTGGAACCAAAGACATATAAAAGGCGAATCACATGACAATCAGTACCAGGAACAACAACTACAGTATCGGATAAATTAACCCCGAAAGGGAAAGGAACCTGATCAATGGGAGCACTTCGAATGTTTGCCATCGAATATCATTTAATGAGGAATATTCTCTAACATTAAATGGGCAGTCGTTGCAGAGAATATTTGCATTTATGACCTTCCATTACATCTTCATCAATGCCTCCTTTATTGTCATTTAAGAGGGGCTTGATCCTAGGATCTTGTTTCCCTAGTTATAGCTATAAATAGTAGGCTCAACAACTATTGTAATGGAGGAAAATTCTAGGCAAAAACTTATGCTATATTCCATTCTCAAGCTTAATCAAATAACTTTATTTGCTCTTTTACATTGAGCTGATTTCTGTCGCGGAGGCATTGCTCTCAGAGCCAAACTCGTCATTTATGCTAAGTCTTATTTTTAATCTTATTTATTTACCATTTTGGATCAAATCAATTCGCTTGTCTATAAATCACGTAACAAATTCAACTGTACCGTTTTATGGGTAAACAGTTTGGCGCCCACCATGGGGCTTAGACAATTGCGTAATTGAGTTGATCCTTGCATTTATACCTTGTTTAATTCTTTGTTCCTTAGAAAAAAATTAAAAAATGATATATAGCTAACAATGTCAACATTGCACATACCGTTGAGGGACATGAAAATTTGCCTCAACATGAGGATTCAATCAACGACACTCACAACGAGGGGGGTGAGGCAACCTCGGTCCGTGAAGGACTGTAACCCTGACATGTACAAGAGCCAACTCCTGATGACGCGAATTGAAGCAACCATTGTCAAACGCTTCCAACAACGCAAACGGAAGGGTACGGTTCCTCTCAGCGTCCTTGTAAATCAAACGGCTCAAAGAGTTGGTAATAATACCCCTAGGGGTGAGGTCAGTTTCGATGGTGCCGGGGTGACTGGTAGCGGATCTGGTAACGATAACGATAATGATCCCTTCAAAACCGAGCTCATGAGATTTGTAAGGGAGATGAACGAACGATTGATCAGAACACGAGGAGTTTCATGCCCGAATGGATCAGATTCCAGGCACACCACCAGTTTTGAAGGGTCCAGATTCGAAAAAGCACACTCAGTTGTCGTTTAAACCAAGCGCAGCACCAGAGCTAATTCTGAAGAGGTTCAAAATGCTGAACATACCGAAGTACGATGGGCATCAGATCCTCAAGAGCACATCACAACTTATACAATGGTTGTGAAAGGGAATGATTTGGCTCAACATAAGATCAAGACGGTTCTACTGAAAAAGTTTGGAGAAACCCTCACGAAGGGAGCCCTTACATGGTATTCACTCTTACCCCAAGAATTCAATTGACTCTTTTGAAATGCTTGCAAATTCGTTCATTAAGGCCCTTGTCGGGGCCAGAAAGGTCCAAACTAGGAAGGCAGACATATTCAGGATCGCATAGGGTGAGTCCGAATTATTGCGGGAATTTGTGATCATATTCCAGAAAGAGAGGATGCTCCTACCGGTCGTACCAGACGACTGGGCAGCGGAGGCTTTCACAAAAGGGTTTAAATCTGAGAACCTCCGACGCCTCCTGAAAACTGAAGGAAAGTCTGCTCGAATTCCAAGCGACTACATGCGCGGATGTTCATAATCGTTATGAGTCAAAAATAAGGATAGAAGACGATCAGCTCGGGTTCCCGACATCAACCAAGGGACAGGACCAAGACAAGAACCAGGATAATTTCAAAGGTGATTTCGATGCGGACCGGCGATCTTCTAAAGGTCGCTTCTTGCCACATGAGAGAACCGAAGGATGCGACAACAAATGGTTCTGGTCCTCGAATAGGTTCGCTCCCGCTAGAAGAACTGACCGTGGTCGGAACAACAGATCTTTACAAGAATAAGAGGCACTGGGGGCCGGGATTCCACATATCCCAGGTTGTCAGATTACAATTTCACGATCAACGTAGTGGAGTTGGTATCGGCGATGAGGAATATCAAAGAAGCACGATTCCCGAAGCCAATCAGATTCGATCCCGGCCAGAGGGACTGACGGCCACAGAACTAGGGACTCACGGCCACAGAACTAGGGATTGCCGGCACCTGCGAGAAGAGGTGGAGACATTATTGAAGAACGGTCATCTCAGGGAGTTCTTGAGCGATCAGGCCAAGAATAATTACGGCTGTAGCTGGGACAATGCGGAACCTTCGAACATAGCCAAAGACCCTCCTCAGTTACTATCAACATGATTTTCGGAGGGAATGAAATTAACGGCGTAACCTTCTCGGCGATCAAGAAAACAAAGATATCAGTGACCCACAACAAGAGACTCCGGGAAGTAGCAGATGACGACATCACCCTCACGGAGGAAGACGCCTACATACTTCTTCTGCCACATAACGATGCTCTGGTAATTTCTCTCAATGTCTTATATTCCAAGATTAAGTGTGTTTTGGTTGACCCAGGAAGTTCGGCCAAAATCATTCGATGGAGAGTGCTGGAACAACTAAAATTAACCGGAAGTATCAGTCCGGCAACAAAACTCCTCGTCGGGTTCAGCTTGGCAAGTGTGACAACCCGAGAAGAGATCCTGCTGCCCACGAATGCCGAAGGGTAACCAAGACCACCTTGTTTGAAGTGTGAAATTAATTTTTGAAGGGTAAAAAAGGTGAACGACATTTCACTAAGGAGCTTCATGCTTTTAATATAGTATATATATAGATAGATAATATAATAAATATAAATATAGATATAGATATATATACATAGATAAATATATATTTGTAAGAGTATAAACCGCAAAAATTGATTATGAGAGAAATAGTTTTAAAAAAGATAATGGCTTGATTTACAAGGGTAAATATGGTTGATTTCAAAGGAATACTTGGTATAATCTACCTTCAATCTGACGAGTTGCCATGGGTATTAAACTTGAGGCTAACGTAAAAATATAAGTAGCTTGTATGACCTATATATATATGACAGAGAGAACCTAAAGCTATTAGAGATTTAGTTCGATAGTTCAATTAAGATCTTCCAACATTATGTGATGTAAAATCTATCTTTTAAATTCCTAAATATTAGGGCGTTTTATATAGTTCAAGGAAAGTTTTTTGAATAAAATTTATTAATTTTAAAATTCTAGATATTAGAAAAATAATTAAATTGCGACTTTATCTAATGCAAAATCTATTTTTAAAGGATTAAAAAGACGCGCAACATTTCGCTAAGGGTCTTCATGCTTTTAATATAACTAGCTTTAATGTACGTGTAACGACCCGACCCGTCGTCTCATGTGTCACTGCTTCATTTCCCCCATTTCATGCTTCTTCATGTTTCATTATCAGTGTTTGGTGTGTTAGAGTTGATTTGGATTGGTTTTGGTAGAAAATGAGACACTTAGTCTTTTTAAGGAAGGCTTAAGTTGGAGAAGTCAACCGGACGTTGACTTATGAGTT